AGACACAATAGCAGCATTTAAGAAGCACCTGGATGAATAGATGAATAGGAAGGAAATAGAGGGATAAGGATCCTGTAAGTGAAGACAGTTATAAGGAAGGGCAAAATGTGTCAGCGCAGGCTTGGAGGGCCATAGGGCCTGTTCCTGTGCTGTATTGTTCTTTGCTCCTCGATTCACTGGCCTCGGGTTTTCTCTGGCAATTTTTCTGAACCAGCTGTGTTTTTCCTTTATGCTCACATCTTCCAAAGCCCTTCGAAACAAAGTCACCCTTCCAGCGCCTGTCTTATAAGCTGTCAGTGTAAATGTTCATCAGACGCCCTTTTATTGGAAAAGCAGTGTTAGAGGGTCAGTGCTGAGGGCTAATGGAGCATCGCACTTCTGGATTTATCTGCCTTTTGGATGAGACATTAAAGTAAGGCCCCAGCTGTCTCTCGGGTGAATATAAAACATCGCTCAGCCACCAAGCTGAGGAAGAGCTGGGGAGTTCTACCTTGTGGCTTAATCAATATTTATTCTTCAACCACGGCGGTTAAAACAAATGACGTTGTAATGATCACATGTCTATTTGTGGGAGCTTGCCAGGCCTGTGTTGGCTTATAACTGTGACCAAACTTCAGGAGTTCTTAACTGACTGATGTGCTTTCGGATGTCCTGAGATCATTAAAAAGTAGGAAAGTCTCTATAAAATCACTCACTTCTGAGCTGCTGCACCATTTGGCCAGTGAGCTGGCATAGACAGGATGGGCCGAATTAATTTTATTATTATCTCAGTACACACCACTAACTCAAACCCAAACCCAAACCCAGCCACTTACTGAAATCATGAAGCCACAAGATTCCTTGACTTAAAACAGAGGAATTTTTACTGTACAAGATTCAAACAAAAACGCACACTAGATGCTGCTTTAAGTAACTAATATGCTGAAACTCAGAATCAACACAAGTTAAACTTAAATAGGCACACTTTGGTGGATTCTAAACTTTAAATGACACAATAATGGCAGGTACAACAGAGACAGATCTTCTGAATTGGCTTGGCAATCCACTCAGGATGTATGTCACTCAATTTAGTATCAAACAAAATCCTTTAAAATTATGTCTTCCTCCGGAAGAACGTCAGCTCGTGTTCTTTTAGGATTTGGCCTGATCCCCAGCAACAACATTACACAACCAAGCCAGGTTCCATAGGCCCAGTTTTCGCTAAATCTGGCACATGTCCGCAGAACTTCCTCAATTCTGCTGACAATACTCTGGATCGCATGGATCCACCAAGGAGCACAGCAGCTAGTTTCTAACCTCAGGTTCAGTCTTCATTTCCTCAGAAACAGAAAGGTTTGGTTTCCTTTCACGGTTTTCAGTTTTTCTGTCTCTGAAAATGACCTTGAATTCCAGCGTGTCACCTTTCTGGGGTGCAAGATTCTACCAGTCAGCTTTTCAGCACCATTAAGTGCCTGACTGGCTGTGGTATTTGGCATTATTCAGAGAGAATGGTAAGAAACAAGGAACATCAACATATCTGTCACTCCCTAGGTATTTGGGAAATTCTGTACTCTGACCAGATTCTCTACTTTGCAGGAATCCACCACCAATCTCCCTATGGAAATCACATCATTTTACAGTGAATATTACAAATATGGCTATCGACAGAAGACCAGAGGCTGGGAACTTAGTGCCAAATAACTAATCTCCTGTCTTCCCAAAATCTGTTCATCTACAAGGCACAAGTCTGGAGTGTAATGGAATTCTCCCCACTTACCTGGATGACTGCAGCTCCAACAACACTCAAGATACTTGACATCATCCAATTTGACAAAAAGCAGCCTACTTGACTGGTGCCACACGCACTCCCTCCACCACTGATGATCAGGAGCAGCAGAATATACTATCTACAGGACTCACTGTAGAAATTTACCAACATTCCTTAAACAGCACCTTCCAAACCCATGACCACTACAAACCACAGTCTAGCCTGACTTGGAAACCTATCACTGTTCTTTCACCGTGGCTGGGTCAAAATCCTGGAACTCCTTCCCTGTCAGCACTGAGTGTCCCTACTCCATGTGCACTGCAGCGGTTCAAGAAGGATGCTCACTAACCACCACCTTCAGGGCAATTAGGGATTGCAATAAGTTGCTGGCTCATATCCCACAAAAAAGAAAAAAAAAAATCCAGATTCTTACCAATACTCAAAGACATGATCCAGCAAAGCAACAATGGGTGGTCCTTCTGCTGGAGAATGCTCATAAACCAACCCACAAGATCCATCCTCTCCGACAATGAACTGGAGACAGAAACCGCAACATGGAATAAGTTGTGTCAATTGTTCTAAGTTGGAGCAATGATAGAAATTCTGCAATTAGCTTCAGTTATACAGGTTTGGTTGGGAGGTTGAAAGGGAGGGAGTGGCTTCGACAATGGTGGTTGTCTTCTCAAGCACTGTCCAGAGCCCTGGCCCACCCTCCCCACTCCCTTGCTGGGGTGGAGTGATGGGGTCTCAACTCTGCAGGATTGCCTCCATATCATTAAACAGCCTGCCATGGATTGAAAACCAGCCCCTCTCGGACGTGAGGGGAGTGGCCGGTGCCTATGCATTTTTACTCAATGTGAGGAACAGAAGCTCTGATTCCTTCAGCTTTTTAAAGACGACAAATGTGTTGGTTTTATTCGGACATTAAGACAGAAAGATCCACAGAAAGTGAGTGGTGGAGTTGGGGGTACAGGGTATCAATGCTTAGATTGAATCAGGATTGGGTTGGAGGGAGGGGACTGGAGCAGGAAGACCAGGTGAAAGCTGCTATGTGGGTGGTGTACAAGGAGGAGGTGGTGCCTTGGGCTTCCAGCTAATATCTAATAGCCAGGTACAAGCATACCCAATACCTCATCTCTCTCGTTCTCTCCCCACTGAGGACTGGTGTTTCTAGAAGAGAAGTCAGGACTGCTGAGGAAACAATTATATCACCTTTAAATTGGGAAAATAAAGGTTAAGAGCTGCCAAATATTTGCCAACAAATTCACATGCACAGCAGAGTTAGTGACATTCTGCCTTGCCAGTTGCATGCTCATTTATGTTTGGATATTCTCTCAGACACCTTGATACTAACAGACTACCTTAGATATACACAATCTCTCTCACGTACACTAGAGATATGCACACATACTTTCTATGTCGCACATGCGCGCGCGCGCACACACTTTCTGATACAGGGCATTCTGCTACAACACAATAGTTGCATTGCGTTATGGAAAATCGCACTATTTAAATAATGGGGCCTATGGAAAAAGTGGGGTTAGGGGTACAAAGGACACACAACAATTATATTTTCCAAAATCCTTCCTCACTTGTGTAGCTTCATTCTTATAGCTGCAGTTGTAATGACAGTTTATCAGACAGGTGATGCTGCAAAGAGGCAATACATTTATGAATCTGACCTTGTATTTGCAATGAAGCGACGGCGGGGCTTTAAATAGAGTTCTGCCACTGGAAATCCCAGCAATGGTCAGTACTGCATGATAGTGCGAGCATCATCCAAAAGGGGTGAGCAGTGCAAAATTGTGTGAGATAGAGCTCACAGCCAGCAACCCTTCATGAAACACCCATGAAATTGACACATCGGCAATCTTTAGTAAAATTCCCTCCTCCATTTAAATACTGATCTGACCTGACATTCCATCGGCACAGACTTCTAGATAGATTTTCAGATAAGTGAAGCAGAGGAATCTGACCTTTTTATAGAATGCTGATGCATTTAATGTGCTCAGCATTAACTCTTCAAACTAAGACTTTACATATTTTCCTAATAAGACGGTTATTCTCTGTGTGATATTATATTTCAGGTTTATGACATACAATCCATACTCAATGGAATTGTGTATTAGCCAATACAAATTTGCATTTTACAAATACCGTTCCCCTATTTGTCAATCACTTTATAGCCAATTTGCGTTGCCAGAACACATGTTACAGGAGAACCTCTCTACATAAATGACATCGCACACAACGTTGCAAAATCAAAATCACACAGACTTGTTGCCAAAGATACAAAGCTGTAAATTCTGGTTGGATATGTTTGGGCTGGATTGGTCACTGCCTTTTCGACACCCTCCAACACTCACTCACCTGCAGGGTTTTGTCGAACCACCGGTTTCCACTGTTCCACCGACTGCCACCACCATGCAGCATCTGTGCTGCCACGTGGCTCATGTACAGATCATCTGACACCTTTGGCACTGGGGCATCCAGGCAGACTGTGAAGATACTTTTCTGGATGCATTTCACAGACTCTTTGTTAACCTTATCTGCAGAATTTTTTTTTTTTTTATAGGTGGTGTTGGGCAAGAGAAACAAGGATAGTCTCAAAATTTCTGCATTTTTATTAACTTAGCCACAACAAATATTTACCTATAACGTATTCAATGGCCATAAGGTATGACAGTAAATTATCATGCTGTAATGATGAGGCCATTTTACTACAGGAATAAAACCATGCTCACACCATCATGCCTTAAGATTTTAACTGAGGGATAAATGTTGCTAGAACACCCCCTTGCTATTTTCCCCAACAAGAGTTTCCACATCTCTCTGAGCAGGAACATGGGACCCGTTTTAATGGCTCCGCTGAACGGCAGTATGTCTCACAGTGCGGCGCTCCTTCAGCACTGACCCTCCGACAGTGCGGCGCTCCCTCAGCACTGACCCT